ATAGATAAGATTTCTTTAGGCATTTACATGGAACTTAAATTTCAGTCTGTAAATAGGTAATTTTATTTAACCAGTTATTAGATGCCTTTGTAGACCTGGATGCTTCCAAGCTTAGGTGAATGCCCCATCAATTCTTTCAAGGTGTGATTAAGCATGCTAAAGTGTTATTACTGTCAGCTTATGAAATCTTAACATCACAGAATTTGTAAAGAGATGTAGTTAGATCACAGTCAAACTTACGATGGAAGTTTTTTTTTTTCCTATAACAAACTTTTAGCATTTTATACTCTTTTTAAGAACTTTAAACATAATGTTGCTTTCAATCACTCCTGGTAAGATTTTAGATATTTCTTCCTGTGACTCAGGTGGTGTATTATTTATGATTGAATTGCTATTTTCTTATTTCTATTATATTAGCTCTGGTCTTAAGATATTAGCTTGCAACCACTAGCTCTTGTTGTGTTTCTAGCTGAATTATCTTCTAGTAGAAATACTCCTTCCGGATGTTGGCAGTGTACCATGATCAGATAGCCTCTAATACTTCTTTCTTTAGTGATTTAATTAAGCTATGCTATTTAAGTCTTTAATTAAAAAACATAACAGTGAAACAGGAAGAAAAAGGTGAAGGGCTTCTCACATGATTCAAGAGCTTTGAATAAACACAAGGGGGGAGGGATGGAAGAGAGGAAGAGAATAATAGAAAAGGAAGGGATTTTGTAATTTACTTTGACCATTAAAATACTCTTGCTGTAAACTTACTTGCAGGTTTTTAAGCTGAGTTGAGAAGCCATGAAAAGTACTTGAGTGTGGGAATAAAGCTTACCTGAAGGGGAATCTGCTGGTTAAGAGTCATGTTTTCCAGAACTTCAGTTGTTCTTTTAGAGTTTTTGTGAAACCTTTTCAATTGTGCTGTCGGGCATATTAATTCCTCATTTATGAAACCTGTGTCCCTTATGTTTTCCATGCATTCTATGAAGTTGCTATTATACACAAAGATGTAACTTGTGTATGGGCCATGGTGCATTCTTTAACCATAGTTTCTGCAGTATTTATTTCTATTGCTTTTGGAAGAGAGCAAATACATTGATTAAGACTATACAGTTTTAAGCCACTTTAAACCATGAAGCCATACCATATACAGTGAAGTAGCTGTGTTGATTCACTGAACGTTGATGTAATATAAAGTGTTTAACTCATCCATAGTATTTTAAATCCAAAAAGTAAATTATAATTCTCATATGGTTTTCTCATAAATTTCCTCAAATCTATGCATATACATAGTCCTTGGTAGCACTCTTTCTTTGGACCACTTATTTATGATGTGCAAGAGACCATTTTCAATTTTGTACTCCACTTCTGCTGAGGAGGTCTTTTAAATTTACTTTTATCTCTTTATCTGAGAACAGAAATAGAACGTTACAGATGGATTTCTTGTTAGATGATTTGAGAGGCTATAGTGGGTTGACCCTGGCCAGATACTAAGTACCCACTTAAGCCACTCTCTCATTCCCCTCTACAACTAGACAGAGGAGAAAAATTGTAGCAAAGGGTTCATGAATCGACATAAGGACTGGAAGAGATCTCTTGCTGATCAGTGTCATGAGCAAAACAGACTCAAAGTGGGGTTATTAATTAAATTTATTACTAATAGCATCAGAGCAGGAGAATGAGAAGAAAAATAAATCTTAAAAACACCCTCTACCTCTCTCTCCTTCCAGCTTCTATCTTTTCCCCCCTAGTGGCTCAAGGAGATGGGGAATATGGGTTACAGTCAGTTCATCACAGATTGTTCGTGCTGCTGCTCAGGGAGAGGAGTCTTTACCCTGCTCTGGCCTGGGGTCCCTCCCATGGGAGACAGTCCTCCATGAACTTCTCCAGTGTGAGTCGATCCCATTGGCAACAGTTCTTCACAAACTGATGCAATGTGGGTCACTTTTCCATGGGATGCAGTCCTTCAGGAACAGGCTGCTCCACCATGGGTCCCCCACAGGACCACAAGTCCTACCAGGAAAACCTGTTCCAGCGTGGGCTCCTCTCCCCCGAGGTCAGCAGGTCCCTGCCAGGACCCTGCTCCAGCATGGGCTTTGCATGGGGTCACAACCTCCTTTGGGCATGCACCTGCTCTGGCATGGGCTCCTCCACAGGCTGCAGGTGGATCTCTGCATCCTGGTTATCCTCCATGGGCTGCAGGGGCACAGCTGCCTCACCATGGTGTGTGCACCATGGGCTGCAGGGGAACCTCAGCTCCAGCACCTGGGGCACCTTCTCTCCCTCCTTCTGCACTGACCTTGGTGTCTGCGTTGTTGTTCACATGTTCATTCACCCTGCTCTTCTCAGCCTGCAATTTTCATCTGCCCAATAACTTTTTTTTTCTCCTTCTTAAATGTTACCACAGAGGCATTACTGTCATTCCTGATTGTCTCAGCCTTGGCCAATGGCAGGTTCATCCTGGAGCCGGCTGGCATTGGATATATCAGACATGTGGGAAGCTTTTGGAAGGTTCTCACAGAAGCCACCCCTGTAGACCCCCCACTACCATACCACTCAGTTCATCTTTTCCAGTAGAAGTCTGATATTCTATTATGGAAATTAAGTTTAGTTTAAAATGTAACTCTATCCTTTTTAGTTCTGGGCTACTATTCGCATAATCTGTGTGTTCTTTGTAAAATCTTAAAGTCTGTTTATTGGAAAAGCCATGGAAGAAACAAATTCAAAATATCTGCTCATCCTGTTTGAAAGAATAGAATGGAAATAAAATGTATGCGTGAAATAAAGCAGTAGCAATAAAGTTCTTCCCTAAGTCTAGAAGAACGTGCATTAAATGTCTGTTGGCTAGAAATAGGGTTTATGGTACGTCAGGAGAAAAGAATTAATTAGCTTGTTAGTGTTGACCAATAATGTGGGGTCACATTTATTATGTTTTGTTTAATGGGACTTTAATGGCCAGTCTCTTCGCGAACGAAGAACCGGGGAAGGTCTTTCCACCTTCCAGCCTGCGCATTGGATTTTTTAGGTGAGACACAGTGTGCGCGGAACTGAGCCCACCCTTTAATCCTGAGGTTCATCTGCCGGGGCCAAGCACGCTTGGACGGTGGCAGGGAGGTCCTCAGGACGTAGATGGATTGCCTTACGGGCTAACGAGCTCCATCTGCCCGGGGAGGGGCCCCGACCGGGAATCGAACCCGGATCTCTGCAGTGACAGTGCAGTGAATTTTCCCCTGGACCACCGGGGGCTCCCGCGGGACTTTAATAGTATATGTAATAAACACTAACATGAGTCTTAGTGGCAGATATTGATGGTTTGTCCCTGAGTGACATGCTCTTGTCTGTCCCTGTAATTTTTCCCAAAGGTTGCATCTTAGGACTAACTGACAAGCTGTGTCATGTCTATTTTCCTGAGGCCCTTTCCAAGGAGACACATGGTGTTCTCAGTATGCTTGGTCTGCTGTCCTCTACAAATCGCATGCCCTGGAAACACTGGATGTGAGAAGGCTAAACTGAATGTAAAAAGGATCTGGCATGAAGAATACTTGCAAAGAATTTAAATGAAGCTGAATGGAAAAAAGTGCTTCTACGAGTTAGATTTAAACAGTCTTGAAGAACTGTTAGATTTAGATGTTAGATCTAACTCTATGAGTTAGATTTAAAAAGTCTTGAAAGGAAAATACTGTTTAGCTGCGTGGTGCAGAGGATCCATTGATGCTGTGTTTGCAGTATCTTTAATAATGTTATGTATCAGGCAAGATTACAGATATCCTGACACTTGCCTGAAGCCTAATAGACTGTTAAACAAAGAAAACTGGTAACTGCTTAGAAGGATCCCAAATTCGAGGGATATTACAATTCCAGTAAAATACCCTGGATACTAAGGTAGTCTGCAGCAGTTTTTAAAGACTTAGTAGGTTGTTTTAGAAAGAAACCCTTCTCTTCTCATTTATCCTCCTCTGCTACTCTCTCTGTAACCTGGAGTTTCAAGGTTGACATGAACATTTAATCTCTTAAAGCATATTACATAGATTATTGCTATTATCTTATTAGTCAGCATACCTCACTGGCAAAAGATCTGCCAGGATGCAGCACAACTACTCACTTGAGATGCTTAACGGACTTAAGTGAGGAAGTTGCTAAAACGTCTGAAAATAATTAAATGAAATTCTTACATGTGTTTTCCTCCTCATGGTCTCCTGAAGTGAAGTTCTTAAGTCATAGGAAGCTATAAATTTGGTTGGAAGTGCAGTAAGAAAGAAGCGATTCTGTTTCAGGATTTCATAATTAAAAGGATTATGGGGCAGGGGGGTTGGGGAAAAGGAGCCTAATTTTTGTTCTTTGTGTATGTGCCAGTGCTTTTGTTAGTAATCAGGTTCATTTGGTTCCCATTACATTGCTACCCATGTGTGTCTGAGATGGGCGGGGGGGTGTTTGTGTTGGGGGAATCAAGGAGAAAAACACTTTAATATCGCTGTCATCTTTGAATTCTTGGTACTCATTTCAAAGTCTTTAAAAAGAGTATCAGGTTAACATTGTTTCTAATCTATAAGGAAAATTCAATTTTAGAAGAAAAATATTTTATAAATTATGTTAAGGACAGAAGGCAACAAATCAGTCCAGAATTTAGACAACACTCAAATTATGAAGTTCTTGATGGCCTCTGCTCTCCTTTGCAGAGTTCCCAACTGGTCCTGCTTGGTTATACCTAGTTTCACTTTATTTTTGTGATCCCCTTTGTTTTATTAACTCTATATAGTGTTTACCTGTGATCCTTTGTTAATATGCAAGGTGGTCTGAGTTACTCTGGTGGGATAAGTCTCAGAAAGCAAACTTCTCTTGCCTTATCTTCCACCTTCCATCTTCAGTGCCCACTGAGGTTTCCTCTGTTTCTCATGTAAATGTATTATCATTACCTTCAAAATATTATCATAAATAATTTTTATGTCAATGAAATTTATTTTTATATCAGTATTTTTAGTGGAAAATAAATCAATTGCTTCTCTTACTTTCAGATGGGCACCTTTAAGGCACATGATGGTGAATATATTTTAGAACCTCTGATGAAAGCAGACGGAGGTGAACATGAAGATGAACATAACAAACCACATCTTATATACAGACATGAAGAACTTAAAAAAAAATATCCAAAATCCCACAAACCTTGTGAAGTTTCAGGTATAGTCATACTTTAAATTTCTCTGTGGCTTTTTCAAATGTCAGATTTTTTTTTTTTTTAAAGTGGCAAGATTTAATGTCATAAATAATATTTCTCCAGATTGTTCCATTTGAACCTACACATTTCTTTCACATGGGCTTGACAGCTCTTCCTTTTGTTTTGTGTCAGTGATTAATTCAAAAGTAGGACAGAATGTGCAAGTAAAAAAAAATGATGATATTTCAAGAACTTCTCTGTGGGTTTGATTTTTTACATATGGGACAATGTAGGTGTAAGAGAAGATCCATGGGAGTTGTTTCTTGTATTCATGAAAGATAATGAGCTTATTGTAAGTCTAACAGATAACACAGGACATCTGTCTTCCTTAATAATGGAAAAATCTAATATTACCCATTAGTGAAGATTTTTGTCCTTATGAGTATTTTAATAATGTATTCATGCTACATTTTAATAATATTTAGTTTTATTGAAAATAGAGTGGAGTAATTTACAAGCACATTATTAGGATATGTGACAAGTGAATGGTTGTACTTTCACAGATTCACAGCATATAGGTTAATCATAATCATGGTCCTCTGATTATTACCCACTTCTGGTTTTCAGGTTGGTAGTGATGAGGTTTAGAGGTCCTAGGGCAATCAAAAAGGACTTCAGGGCACTGGGACAACTAGTTGAAGGGACAGGATCACAGGTGGTGTTTTCCACCATCCCTTAGGTAACAGGGAAGAATGCTGAAAGAAACGGGAGAACCCACCTGATGAACAAGTGGCTTAAGGACTGGTGCTATCCTAGGGATTTTGGCTTTTTTGGGGTCGTTTGCCTGGCACCAGGCTGGAGACAGATGAGGTTCACCTGTCTAAAAGGGGAAAAGGTCTCTAGCCCGTGAGTTGGCAGGGCTGATTGAGAGGGATTTAAACTAGGTTTAGAGGGGGAAGGTGGTAAGACCAGGCTTACTAGAGATGAACCTGGGGATGTCAAGCCTGTGCTGGGGGTGAAATCAATAGCCCAGCTAAAGTGAATCTACACTAGTGCACAGGGTATGGGAAACAAAGAGGAGGACCTGAAAGCCTTTGTGCAGCAGGAAAGCTATGATGTAGTTGCCATCACAGAAACATGGTGGGATGACTCACATGACTGGAGCGTTGCCATGGATGGCTACAAGCTCTTCAGAAAGGACAGGTGAGGAAGGAGAGGCAGTGGGCTGGCTCTGTACAGTAGGGAGTGTTTTGACTGTATAGAGCTCAAGGATAATGATGATAAGGTTGAGTGCCTATGAGTAAGAATCAGGGGAAGACTAACAACGCAGAAATCCTGGTGAAGGTCTGTTGTAGACCACCCAACCAGGATGAAGAGACAGATAAAGTATTCTATAAGCTGCTGGGTGACATTTCATGAGACAGAAACTCAACACAGTGGAGAGGAGGCAGTCTAGGACATTCCTGGAATGTGTAGAAGATAACTTCCTGACACAGCAGGTAAGTGAGCCCACCAGGGGTGATGTCCTCCTAGACCTGTTTATGAACAGAGAAGGGCTAATGAGAGATGTGGTGGCCAGAGGCTGTCTTGGGCATAGTGACCATGAGATTTGAGTTTTTGATTCTTGGTGAAGTAAGGAATGGGGTCAAGAAAACTTCTACCTTGGATTTCTAGAGGGAGGATTTCGTCCTATTCAGGACACTGAGACATATTCTTTGGCAGCTACTTTTTAAGAAGGAAACGTAGCTTCCAGAAAGACGGTGGAGATTTGTTCAGAGGGGGCTAAAGTGTGTAGTTAGCTGTGTAAGTTCTGAAGAGTAGTGACAATTCAGGTATGCTTCTGAGGTAAGTGTTTTTATGTGAGCTGTTAGTAAGGTGATTCTGAAAAATGCATGGATTTTATGTATCAGAAGCCTCTGGTGACTAGACTATACAGCATTATTGGAAGTATTACAGTACTTAGTTTGGAGATATCTGAGATTGTATATTTCCTTTAGAACCTGATCCTACATAATGAATATTTACAAAGGTGTCAAGGAAGTCATTGAAGGTTTTTGATGGATACTTGCTTACAAAATAAACTATATTTATTTAAATATGTTACATAAATTTAAAAGTCAGTAGGGACCTGAATTCAGGAGCTGGGCCTAGTTTGTTTTGGTTTCTTCCAGTGGTGCCAGAAGTTTGAGTGTAAAAATATGTTTTGTTTAACTAACTTGCTTCCTTTGTTGTACCGCTTAAGTTGTACTGCTTTTCTTCTTCCAAATATACCGCATTCTAGGAACTACAAAATACTCCTGCCTTGTAACTAGTTTTTAACAAAGAATTCATTTATAATAGAGCTGTATGAAAATGTAAAAGACATCTAATCTGATGTTCCTATTACAGTCTTCTGTGTTTCATATAATTTTTTTTTTTTAGTTCTTGCAATGTTTCTCTTGGAAATAAGATCATAAATATAAGTTTGCTTTGTGATTCAGGATGCCCTTTGCTTCTTTACATTTAGAAACTGCATTTAATGGTAAATCTTTTTTGCTTTGCAGATAAAGAGTTGAAGAAGAGCACTTTATTACATTCAACCTTCAGCAGTTTAAATGAAGAGAGCAGTGTTTTACAGAAGTCTCTCGGTTTAAAGTATGCTTTAAATAACCTCTCTATAGAGGATGGTGGCAATCCACATTCCAGGAAAAAGCGTTTTCTTTCCTATCCAAGATATGTAGAAGTGATGGTTACAGCTGACGTCAAAATGGTTCGTCACCATGGGCAGAATTTACAACACTACATACTAACACTGATGTCAATAGTAAGTAAACTCTTGTTCTTAAGTATTAGCAATTTCAATTATTTCTGTTCAGTTGTTCTCTTTTCTGCAACTGTCCTGTCTTCTGGTTTGACCAAATTTTGTATCAAAAGAAAGAGATTCCATAAACAAAAATTAAAAAGTAGGGCCAAAATTTTGGATTGTGGATCTTTTCAGTTTAATGCAGTGTAAGGTGTCTAAGTGAAATGATGTGACTGATTTCCTGATTTTCTGTTGCTTTAGAAGAATTCTTAAGCTTCAGTGAGGTAAATGTATGGATTAATTACAGCAGATAGATGTTAAAATGCATTGTGAAAAAAATGCTTGGTCATAGTAATCCTAGTTTTCCAAGTTTTCAAGTAATTTTAGATGATTATGGGTCAGACTTTGAGTTGGCATCATTTGTTTGCGATCTTTCTGTAATAAATTCTTTTTTGAAACAAAAGTCATTACTTGTATTGATTCAGAATTTGGTGCAGTAAGTTTTGTATAATCAAAAAGTTTACCATGACCTCTGTTGAATCATAGGAAAAGCCATGCTAACATATTCTGCATTGTAATTGTTTCTAGATTTCTGTCCTTATATCTATTTAAGAAGCTTAATTTATATGAAACTGCATCTGCCTTGGGGCTTGCAAATTAAAGCACCTGCCATATAGGTATCTATAGAGATATCTGCTTTATAGACAGCTATTCACTTGACCAGTCACAGACATCTACTTTTGGATCAATTAATTTACTTCATAGAAGTGCCCAGTGCCATTTAAGAAGCCATAGGGCATCTGGCTTGGCCTGAGCTGCTTCACAAAGCTCAGAATCACAGGATATACTGAGTTGGAAGGGACCCACAAGGATCATCGAGTCCAACCCTTAGCCTTGCACAGGACCATCCCCAAGAGTCACATCATGTGCTTTAGAGTATGATCCAATCTTCATTACCCTCCTTTGGACACTCTCTAATAGCTTAATATCTTTCTTATATTGTGGTGCCCAAAACTGCACACAATATCCAAGGTGAGGTCGCACCAGTGCAGAGCAGAGCAGGACAATCCCTTCCCTCAACCAGCTGGTGATACTTTGATGCCAACTTCAACTCTGAGCTTTGGCTGCATACGTTTTCTCCCTACAGTAGCAAGCAGCATCTCTGAATTCTTACCATGTCACTTGACCTTGCTTCCATTGGGCATATACCTTCCTTTTTTGCCTTATTTCCAAGAGAAGATCCAAGCTGGCCCTCTGCCTTGCCTGCTTGACTTCTGACATTTGGGAATTGCCTGCTCCTGTGTCCTTAGGAGGTGATTTTTGAAAAGGGACCAGCACTGATGGATGCCAGCACCTGCACAAACATCTTCCCAGGGGACCTTACTTACTAACTCTCTGAGCAGTCTGAAGTCTGCTCTCCTCACGTCAGAGCTGAGATTTTGCTGACACTTTTACTTCTGTCAACAGAGATTTTAAACTTGATCCTTTCATGGTCACTGTGACCAAGACAGCCACCAATCTCCACTTTGTTCACAAGATCCACTCTGTTGACAAGCAGCAGATCAAGGAGGGCACCTTTCCAAGTCAGCTCCCTTAGGACCTGTGTCATAAAGTTGTCATTTAGTTTTTTTAGGAATCTTCTGGCACAGGTTATACCAGCTGTGTTATGCTCCCAGTTAACATCTGGCAAGTTGAAGTTCCACATATGGACAAGGGCAGTTGACTTGGAAGTGTCTCTTAGTTCCTCAGAGAATAATTTGTTTGTGTGATTTTCCTGGATAGGAGGTCTGTAGCAGACTCCCACAATGACATCCACATTATTTGTTTGCCCCTTGATTCTTACCCAGAGGCTCTCAACTGTGCCAGTGCCAGCTCTGAGCTCCATACATTCTAACCTTTCTATTACATAAAGTGCCACCCCTCTGCCCCTTCTGCCCTGCCTATCCCTCCTGAAGAGCTTGTAACCATCCAGCAGGGCACTCCAGTCACAGGTCTCATCCCACCAGGTTTCACTTATGCCAGTGATGTCAAATCTCTGCAAGTGTCCTGTAAATGATGAGTCGTAACTGCGAGTTGTGTATAGGTGTCTCATAAACTATAGCATGTGAAGGGATGCTGGATAATATGCAGTTAGACAACAAAACTGAATTCTGCTCACTCTAATATCTGCATATCCAGCTGATGGCAGTAGAGGTGCTGTCATCTATTACACAGATGATGTAGGCAAATGTAGAAGATGGAGTTTCCTTTTATTGGTTTATAAGAGAAATAATATTTTAAGGAGATCAGCATACTTTACTTGATTAGGTCTTTCAAATTTTTCTACTTCTAGTGGTGTGAAAGTCTGAAAGTTCATGTATTACAAAAAAAAAAAAAAAAATCAGTACTGAAAGTTGGTTTTTTTCTCTTTAACTTATAGTGCAGACCCAACTTGGAGTTCTTTTAGAACAAGTGATCCCAAAGATGCCATTTTTATAGAGACTTTTTTAATAAAGAGCTGTTCTAAGAAACAAAGCAAAGTGGCCAAAACATTATTTTAAAATGGAAGCTGTTTTTTACAGAAGTTTACAATAAGATGAAATAGAACATTTATGTTATAATTTTCATAAGGTGTTGTTGTGGTTATAGGTACTGGATTTTTTTTTTAAGAACAAAACATTGTTCCTGCATCTGTAGCTGTTGTTCATTCAACTACAACTCCTTACACTGCAATGTTTCTAAAATCTCTTTACTTACATAATTGGACTTCTAGGTAAATAAGAGAAGCATTGTATAATTGCTACTTTAGAGAATCAATGTATGAACAAACATTATACTCTAGTCTTGTAATAATTCTGAAACTTTTAATGTTATTCAGTTTTGGCTTGGATTTTAAAGAAACCTAAAAACTTTAAGCATATAAATCCCATTAAATTTTAATGAAACTTAGACATCTAGCTCCCAGAAGAACCTTTGAAATCCTGGCCCGTTTTTCTTTTATTTTCTTTGGGTTTTTTTATCAGCAACAAAGCCACCAAAGTAAACTTGCTGCTGTTTTGTGAGTGGAAAATAAGAACTGAAATATACTGCTAAATATTTTTAGGGTTTAAGTGTCTTGTCACTCATCCAATTCAACCTGAAAAGGCTTAACTCTCAGAATGCGAGTAATCCCATTGAACTGGAACTGGAATGCATTTTCCAATTTCTTTAAAGTTGCATAAATGTTGGCATTATAATTATTCACATTATTTATACTATGTCTTGGAAATACTTACTAGTTCTGATTGAAATATGTAATTCAAAGGACATGGAATACCTTTGCTGTAGAAATTTATTAAAAAATTTGTACTGAAATACAATAAAGGGTGGTATTATTTAATGTGAAATTCTAAATAAAATAATAAAGAATTCTGTGATTGCTTAACTTGCACTGTTTTTTATTGTTTCTCCAAGTGTTGTGTCATCAGAACAGGCAGTAAGCACTGCCTTAATAGATTTAGTAACTGGAAGACTTTATCTTAAACTTTATCTTCAGGAAGTTCAAGGCCCCTAACATGAAGGCTTGATCTTAGCAACTGAAGTAGTTAATTAAGACACTGGAGTTTACTATAAAAGCACCAAAACCACCTCCAATCTGGTTTCATGAGACATTTTGAGGTACTATCCTCATTTTCTGTATCAAGTAGCTGATTATTGGCATCCGTTTAAGTACTGTACTGCTTATGTAGTTAGTTTGATACTAAAAAACTACTTGGTCTGTTCTTAGTCTGTTTGCAGCAAGAGCAGCAAGAACTTTGTAATCTTGCCTTTTTTGAAAAGAAATCATGACATGTATAACCACCCGTGGTAGGGCTGTGGTGGCCAACTCAGATCATGAACTCAGCTGACTACCTAGTCACCTGAGTTCTAAAATTGAAGCATAGGTGAGGGGCAGCCATGCATTCAAGGAGAGGATTGAAACAGCATCAGTTTAGATCATCTAACGTGCAGTGAGACTGTGGAATCATAAAAAGGTGTAATATAATAGTACTATTATGATATGGTGTTAAAAGCTGGTGGGTTTGATTTTCATCAAGACAGGTTTCTGGCTTGGACTGCGCATAAACAACCTTGACTATCCGTTGTTTTGTTCATTGTGTAGTCTTTCAGATTTGTGCAAATGAAACTGCTATTGAAGGACCTTGAAATAGTTACTGTCATTTTAGTAATGTTTTGTGGTTACCATCATTTACTGAGACGTAAAATGTAAGGTAGTGAGTAACAGGTAAGATTTTTTCTAGTTGTAGCCTTGTTTATACTTTTTTTCCCATTGTGACAGATAACCATCATCATTCATCATTAAATATTTTCTATGTGGAAAGACTCCGTACACTGGTGTGCTGTCCCCATCATTAAAACAGCCCAATGATTTTGTCCTAATATATATAGACTGAATTTTAATAATGTTCTTATGCTTTCTTTGCAGGTCATCCTATGCAACAATTAACAGTTCATCTTTCCATAGCACTCTGGGAAAACATAGATGCATACTAGTCATTTCAGGTTGAATTGGATGAGTGACAATTTAAGAATATTTGGCATTACTGGTTGTGCCATATAGTCATAATTTAAAAATAGGTGTTAGAATTGAACAATTTGTAGGTTAATAATTTAATTTATATGGCTAGCGTCTGAAAGGCAATGAATATTGTTACATTCAGAATTTAGAGATGAATATATTGTTCCTTGCATCTGCTACTTGGACTACTAAGGTTCTATATTACCCCTTTTTCACTCAGATTAGTGTATTAGTACTAATGCTACAGGAATGTTCTGTGCTTTTTATCTCTCATAAAGTAAAATCTAGAAAGCCAGCACAAGGCATTTATTCCTTGACTTAGGCTTTATACCTTATTATGTTTTTTCTGTGTGTATAAAACCACATGATCTTGTGTATTTGACATGGTTAAAATGAAAGTGGGTATTTTTTTTATACACCAATGACTATACATAACAGAAAGCAATTATTTTCAAAGCATTTTTCATATGGAATTCTCTGAGCT